AGAATGGGAGAAAAATGTAGAAGAAAACTCAAATTCTTAAAAAAGGCCAGACTTACCGGACCGGTAGAGACTAGAGGAACCCCCTAGACTATTACCCTGAGATACCCTTTAAACTTTGAACTGAAACCACTCCCGGAGCTCACCTTTCAGCTAAATAACCTATTGGCTCATAACATAAACAATATCACCCATGAGTACTGTGCCCCTTTAAAATATCAACTTTATGAGACCCAACAAAGATGAGAAGGTAAGGTGGGGCACGGAAGCTAGATTAATGGAAATGGAACAACTAGAATGGAAATAATGAGAAGGTTGACATGTTGTAAAAACTGTAAACAATGTCACTGAACAGCAAGTACAGAAATTGTTAAATTGGAACCTAATGTGCTGTGTAAACTTTCACCAAAAACAATAAAATATTATTTAAAAAATATTACGCCCACTTACATTCTATTAACTTTTGAACCACCTATTCCCACTAACTAGATTTATACTAGGCATCCTTGGGTGGTGCAAACGATTAGCCAAAAGGTTGAAATTTTGAGTCCACTCAGAGGTGTCTCAGAATAAAGGCCTGACAATCTACTTCTGAAAAATCATCCACTGAAAAAACCTATGGAGCATAGTTCTACTCTGATACACATGAGGTCACCATGAGTCAGAGTCAACTCGATGGCAACTTTTTTTAAAAAAAATATTTAAAGTATGTTTTATTTTTACAACCGTTTCTCCCCCTTTAGCTTGTCTTCTGCTTTATACTGCTAACTACCAAGTTTCTTCTTCATGTCTGAAAATTTTGGGAGGTGGTGGCATGTTTTAGCGGCAAGGAAGCTTGCTTTAGTACTCAGCACCATAGGTAGGAAAACTCATGGAAATTCCAAGTTCATTAAAGTTAATTACTGCGACCAAGTGTTCACAAGTGCCCATTTCCTACCCTCTGTGTTGTCTTAAGCACACTCTAGTCAGGTTTCTCTCCTTCCCAGAGACCCCTGAACTCTGGCTTGTCCCCAGGCCTAAGCCAGCACAAAGTGCAGAACATGTCCCTTTTCAGTTTATCCCAAGAATCAGGTGACCACCTGACAAATCTCACCCATCATGTACCCCTTGGCTTGCCCAACTTCCCCATAAAAATTTCTGCTTTAAGTCTTTGTTTAAAACCAAAACCAAACCCATTGCCACTGAGTCAATTCTGACTCACAGCAACCCTATAGGACAGGGTAAAACTGCCCATAGGGTTTCCAAGGCTGTAATCTTTACAAAAGCAGACTGTTACTTTCTCCCAAGGGGAGGCTGATGGGTTCAAATCATCAACCTTTCAGTTAGCAGCCAAGCACTTAATCACTGCACGACCAAATCAACCAAGCAAACCTGTAGCCATTGATTCGATTCTGACTCACAGTGACCACACAGGGCAGACTAGAACCACTCCATAGGGTTGCCAAGGCTGTAACCCTTTCAAGACCCTATTATTTCCTGCTTTGGATTTTTTTTTTTTTTTTTGATACCACGATTTCATTAATGGAAGCATGCTGAGTCATGGAGGGTGTTTAAATTTTTGGTTGGTAATATGGATTTTGAGAAATATTATTTGGGAACACCTGGTTACCACAAAACTCGAGGAGTTCTCAGGTATCATAATTGGTAGGTGCCCATCTGTCCCACCAGTCATGGGTAGAAGGAGGTACTGTTGGGCACCTTCCATTAGGTTACATGGGGAACCTCTAGTTTTCCAAATATACAAAAAAACAAAACAGAACATACCAGGGCTCCCTAACTACCACACAGGAAACCATAAATAAGATTACAGGGATTATCTAGCTGAACAAAGGCAAAAAGCGACAAAAATTTTACCCAATCACACTTCCTGGATGCACTACCTTATATTTAAGCCTGATATCCCAGCTATTTCGCTTTAACAAATGTTTGTTTCACTTTTCACCGTTTCACAAGTCCCCACTGGAGGGCAGCAAATACTTTCAGGGGGAAAAGTAGAGTCCTAAAACACCTGGCAGCCAGAAAAAGTAGGTGGGTAACCATATACCCCACGGATCCTGAAAGGAGTAATCTTTACAGAAGCAAACTGCCACAGCTTTCTCCCGCTGAGCAGCTGGTGGTTCAAACCACTGAGCTTTCGGTTAGCAGCAAAGCGCTTAACCACTGTGTATCCAAACCAATAAAAAAAACCAAACAAACATTACCATCAAATTGATTCTGACTCATAGCAACCCCACAGGACAGAGCAGAACTGCCCCATAGGGTTTCCAAGGCTGTAATCTTTATGGAAGCAGACTGCCATAGCTTTCTTCAGTGGAGTGACTGGCGGGTTCTAACCGCTGACTTTCCAATTAGCAGCCAATCACTTTAACCACAGTGCCACCGGGGCTCCTTCACAACCCTACTGCTGTTGCTGCTAGGTGCTGTTGAGTTGGTTCTGACTCATAGAGACCCTATGTACAACAGAACAAACACCACCCGGTCCTATGCCATCCTCACAACCGCTGTTATACTTGAGCCCACTGTTGCAGTCACTGGGTCAATCTATCTTGTTGAAGGTCTTTCTTTTTTTTGCTGACCCTCTACTTTACCAAGCATGATGTCCTTCTTCAGGGACTGGTCCCTCCTGATAACACATCCAAAGTACATAAGACAAAATCTCGTCATCCTTGTTTCTAAGGAGAATTCTGGTTGTACTTCTTCAAGACATATTTGTTCATTCTTCTGGCAGTCCATGATATATTCAATATTCTTGGCCAACACCATAATTCAAAGGCATCAGTTCTTCTTCAGTCTTCCTTATTCATTGTCCTGCTTTCGTATGCATATGAGACAACCGAAAATACCATGATTTGGGTCAGGCGCACCTTAGTCCTCAAAGTGACATCTTTGCTTTTTAACATTTTAAAGAGGTCTTTTGCAGCAGATTTGCCCAATGCAAATGTGACCCTATGGGCTCCTTAAAGTCTGCTTACCCTTCCCTATAACAGAAAAGCCTTTCTGTTTGAGTTGAAATACTTGCATATTTCTGAGATCAGAGTTTTCTTCCTATTGCAATAGTAGTTTAAATAAAATCTCTCCGTAAGTCTGGATTTGTCTTTATTTCGTAACTAGTATGTTCCTATTCAGAGTCCTGGTGGCACAGTGATTAAGTGATATAGCTGCTAAAGGTCATTAGTTCAAATCCACCAGCCACTTCTTGGAAACCCAACTGGGCAGTTCTACTCTGTCCTCTAGGGCTGCTATGGGTTGGAACTGACTTGATGGCAATGGATTTGTTTTTTTTTTTTTTTCTTTTGTTTATGTTCCTATTCTGGATCCCTGGTGGAGCAGTGATTAAAGTGCTTGGCTGCTAATCAAAGGTCAGTGGTTGAACTCCCCAGCTGCTCCATAGGAGAAATATGTGGCAGTCTGCTTCCATAAACATTGCAGTCTTGGAAAACCCATGGGGCAATACTACTCCATCCTACAGGGTCACCGTGATTTGGCATTGCCTTGACAGCAATGTTTTTTGTTTTCTAAAAAATGTTCTTATTATGTATTTCTGGAGCCCTGATGGTGTAGTGGTTAAGAGTTTGGCTGTTAACCTAAAGGCTGGCAGTTCAAATCCACCAGACACTCCTTGGAAACCCTACGAGGCAGTTCTACTCTGTCCTATAGGGTCGCTATGAGTGGGAATCAACTAGATGGCAACCGGTTTTATTATGTATTTCTAAGATGATCCAGTTCAGAAGGTTTCTCATGTCAAAAACTGTGCTGACATATTCTATGATTCCATTTATATGGAATGGAATAGGCAAATCTAGAGGCAGAAAGGAGATTACTGGTTGCCAGTGGGTGGAGAGGAATGGAGAGTGGCTGTGAATGGGTATGGGCGTTTTTCTTGGAGGTGATAAAAATATCCTAAGCTTAGATTATGGTGATCATTGCACAATTCCGTGAATATACTAAAAGGCACTGAATTGTATACTTTGAGTGGGTGAGTTTTAAGGTATATGAATTATATCTCAATAAAGATGTTTAAAAAAATTGTTGAAAAACTTAACAGTAAAGATGTTTAATTTTTTTTCTATTCTAATGGTAGACTGAAATAGAAAATGAAAGTGACATATCTTGAATATTCAATTATTTGAATTATAGGTTTTTCTTTTACTTGATAAAATGACATATATTGTAGTAGAAATTTAGAGCATAATTCAGTGCATATTTCTAAGAATGTTTCTTAGCTCAATGAGTACGAGTCTGTGTATCTCAATAAAGTTTTTCAAATATGACAGTTTAGCAAGAACAGGCAAAGTAAAAAGCAACAAAATTGATGTAAAGATTAGCAATATGAAATGGAAAAAATTAACTGGCTTTATCATTGGAACATTCTCAGAACTAATTAGGGAGACTGATTTAAATTAATTTTTTTTTTTAAATGAAAAAGAAGTTTTTTTAGTGGGGGGGCCTATCTCTTAGAAATTTAATCAGTCAGAGTCAACAGCATTTGGGTATGTGTGTGTATGCACACACGCCAGTATTTGGATAAAGAGCCCTATTCATGGCACTGAGGAGAAGGTCAGAAGTTAAGTGAAATAACATGTGTGGAGTTAGCACTTAGAATGGGTCCTGGCACTTAGTGGGTGCTTGTTCCTTGGCACAGTTTCTGTAATTTACTTTGGCATAGACTGTGTGCTATCTACATGCCTCACTGCAGCACACAGAGTGGTTGGTTTACACAGACTATGAAACCAAACTGCCTGGATTAGAATCCCATATACCATGGAATTCTACCATGGTACTCCCTGTGTAACCTTGGGAAGTAACTTAACCTCTCTGTGGCTCAGGTTTACCAGCTCTACCAAGGGGATGGAGTTAATGTGCTAACCAAAAGGTTTGAATTCACCCAGAGGCACCTCGGAAGAAAGGCCTGGAGATCTATTTCCAAAAAATCAGTAATTGAAAACCCTATGGAACATAGTTCTACTCTGACACACATGGGGTCGCCATGAGTTAGAAGTGACTCAACGGCGCCTTTTTTTTTTTTTAAACCAAGGGATAAAAATAGTACCTAGTTCATAGGATTGTAGCCATCCCAATAGCCTCCCTAAACTCTTTGGAGTAGTTTAGGATTCTGAACAATCCTGTCTGTATACAAGCACTTTACAGAAGATTTTGTTGCCTAACTCTGACTAGAAGGGTCACTGAATCTTGCCGTTGAATAGTGAGTGTCTCATTTTTTGATTGCACGTTTCTTACAAGGTACTGCCCAGGTACCTAAAAGGACAGACATCTGAGACCTCATATAACTGTGTTTTTGCCTGCTTGTTAATTGACATGTTTATGTGGGGATGGATTCCATCTGAGACTTACTTTCATTCTGACATACCACCTTGCTAACACGAAGTGGAGAAGACCTATAGCTCTGACCAGGCCTTAACTTTGGGTGGTTACTGACATTTTCCAAAAATAACCAAATATGGTGAACAACTGAATTGACTTAGGTCTCAGTGTTCAACAAAGCTCAAAAAGAAAAGGTTCAGTTCTTAAGGAGACAACAATATAAACACAATGACAAGCCAAATACAAATTTAAAAAGCAAAGTAAGACATAAAAAGATTACTTCTTGACACATCAAGTTAACAATATTTGTTGAGCATACTGTCTGTACCATGGGCTGCGCTGGGGGCTGTGGGGAACAGAAAGATGGATCAGTCATGATTCTTACAAGAAAGGAGCTTACTTTGACACTGATTTAGAACAAGTGCAAAATAACTCAGCTTCTAAGGGCTCAAGTGCTTACCTATGGCCAGCAGTAAGTCTTCAAAATGCCCAGATAATTCTCCTTTTATGCTGTCCTCGATGTCCTTCTGGCTGATATTTTTATATTCATCAAATGCTAAAAAGCAGTACCACAAACACATTTAAACCATCCCAATTGACCACACTTGAATATATTCCAGTTTTAGATTAGACATGCAGCAGATCAAGTTTAGTAGCAACTTCAAAAACTCTTCCCTTAAACCACCAAAAGTTGAGCATAGAAGTTTTTGTTTTTCTTTTCATTTCTTTTTAAGAAAATCATCCACAATAAAACTTCATAGGCCACTTTTACTGACAACCTCTCCCTGTTCCTCTTCCCAGGCTGTTAGCACTTAAAATAGCCTGAAAGGTTATAAAGCCAGTGATAAATAATTTACCTACAGCAGTGATATGGGCTATTTTTAAATTATAGTAGCACCATAGTGTGATCATTAGTCAAGTATGTTTCATCTGCTAAAGAAATCTTAATTGTTGTGCTGGGTAAATCATTCCCTAAGGGAGCATGGCCTACTTCACACCAGGGCTTCCCAAGGGGATCTCGTTAAAATGTAGATTCTGATTCAGAATATCTGGGGTGGAAATGCAAATTATTAGCAGGGAGTCAAACTGGAATGAACTGGTTCAAAGCCCTGCTTCACACCTGCAAGAAAGCATCCTATTTCCTATCTTATTTGCCCAAAAGCAAAACCTGTACATATGTCACCAAGTATACAGGCATATTTTGCAAGACAGGTACATTTTTAAAACAGAAACTGTGGAGAAAGAACTAGGGTGGGTTGTTTGTTTTTTCCAAATAAGGGGACTAATAAAGTAACTATCATATACTATAAGGAGCCCTGGTTGTTCAGTGGTTAAGCACTCAGCTGCTAACTGAAAGGTCAGTAGTTTGAACCCATCAGCCGCTCTTTGGGAGAAAAGACCTGGCAATCTGCTCCTGTAAAGATTACAGTGTAGGAAATCCTATGGGCAGTTCTAGTCTGTCATACAGGGTCACTATAAGTTGGAATCGACTTGATGGCACACAACATCATATACTATCAGCATTATTTTATAAAATCATTGTGATTTTAATGGCAAAATTAAGGAAGGACAACCTCAGAATTAAAGTCACAGTACTGTCCTTATGTTTCTTCACTTGTCCATGAACTTGGCTTAAGTTTAGTCATACACTGGGGTTGGTCTCTAGACCAGCATCTGGAAGCCAGTCAGAGGTGTTCACAGTAAACAGAGTTCCAGGCCTCTGGGTGCTGTTGCTTCCAGAATACCTCAGGGAAACATAGTGTTAATATCAGTGAGTGAAGGGTGGGTCCTTAGCAGTTTCATCTAAAAGTTGATCTGACAAGAGGGCTGTTTTATGTTTTTTTATTTCTCCCCCATTTACCTTTATATCAGAAAGAAGTGAATGTCCACCAGTATTAATGCATTAACAGAAAGTCACCAGCAATGCTCAGTTTTTCTGGGAAGTGGCTAATTTGGGAAGAGATGGGGTGGAGGCAATGCAGACAAACCCCTTCACCCCACAGGAACACTCCCTTTCTGCCCTTTTTCTTCTCCCTGTCACAATTCTTCCCCTGCCACCTATGACTCTGGATAACCTATGCAGCTTCCAGGGAAAGCAAGAGAAGTGTCAGTACTGCCTTGAGCTAGAATATAGTTTCCTCATTCTGTTTCTTGAAAAGTTTATAGATAAAACTGGAACAGCCTTTGCAATTTTCAACTTCATTTTCTAGAACTTTGTATGTTAAATCCAAAGCCATTTAAAAAAAAAAAAAACACAAAAACAAACAAGATTGTAATGTGGTCAAAAATGAATTGAGTCCATACTTAGTTTCAGTTGAGGAAAGCTCCTTAAACACAGGATCTCGGTGAATTTATCTTCATCTGTGCCCCATTTCTTCTCACCAGCATTATAGAGAATCTGTTGGACAAGGGGAGGGAGACATTATTATTAAACTGACATAATTCTCTCTCTTTTTCTTTTTTGAAGAGGTGGAATGAGAAGAGTGGGCGATTTGCTTTATTTGAGAGGTCAATGAGATAATCTATTATCTAAGTCTTTCACTTTCAGCAAACTAGAAATTTGAGAGTTGGGGTGGCAGGAGTTGAGAGAATGATGATTGCCACTAGAGAAGGCAGAAAGCTGGGGTTGGGTGACTCCCTGCTTTTATGGATTGAATTGTGTCCTTACAAAATATGTCTTGGGATATCAACCCCCTATACCTGTAGAGAAGCCCTGGTGGTGCAGTGGTTAAGGACTCTGCTGCTAACAAAAAGGTGGGCAGTTTGAATCCACCAGCTGCTCCCTGGAAATCCTATGGGGCAGTTCTACTCTGTACAATGAGATCGCCGTCAGTCGAAATCAACTGGACAGCAACAGGTTTGGTTTTGGGTTTTTCTGGATACCTACAGACTGGAGGGAGTCCTGGTGGTGCAGTGGATAACAGCTACGGCTGCTAATAAAAAAGTCGGCCATTTGATCCCACCAGCCGCTCCTTGGAAACACCATGGGGCAGTTCTACTCTCTCCTACAGAGTCACTATGAGTTGGAATCAACTCGATGGCAACAGGTTTTTACAGAATGGAGCCCTGGTAGCGCAGTGGTTAAGAACTCGGCTGCTAACCAAAAGGTCAGCAGCTCAAATCCACCAGCCACTCCTTGGAAACCCTATGGGGGCAGTTCTACTCTGCCCAGTAGGGTCACTATGAGTCAGAATCGACTCAATGGCAACAGGTTTTTGGTATACCTATAAAGAAGCCCTGGTTGCACAGTGGTTAAAGCGCTCAACTGTTAACTGAAAGGTTAGCAGTTTGAAACCACTAGCAGCTCCGCAGGAGAAAGATGTGGCAGTCTGCTTCCATAAAGATTTACAGCCTGGGAAACCCTATGGGTCGCTATGAGTGGAAATCGACCTGACGGCAGTGGGTTTGGTTTTGGTTTGGTATACTTATAGATGTGATCCAGGAAGAAGAAGAGTTAAAGGAGACATTGCCTCTGCTCTGTTACTGACCTGGGCATCCTTTTTAGCCAGATGCTCATCCACTTTCAGACTCTCATCTCTTCTGCCCTAAACAGGAAGGATGAAAACAAGGGCAATCCTTTTAAAGACAGTAGATTCTAACACTCACTCACCAATCCCTAATACAACTGTTACAAAGGACACCTGGCTGCATTTGTTTAAAATACTCTGACCTGCAGGACACTTCAGAGGTTTTTCTCCAATGAAGGCCATAAAGCAAAGAGAAAAGACTACTGGAGGAATCAAGTCATTCTGGCTTCTAGTTCTGGCTCTGCCATAAAATTTATTGGAAATCACACAATTCTCTGAGCCTCAGTTCCCTCCTCTGAAAACTCCAAGGTCCACACCAACTCTAATGTTGAAGACTGTACGGTTATGTGTGTGCCCACAAACGTTTCGGCACACTACAGAAAGACAGAAGATAGGAGGGGGGAAAGCAGGATGGCCTGAATTATTTTGAGAATTATAGGTGAACGAAGCATTTGGCTAAAACATTTTAGAAATAAATTTTTGAAACTGAAAAATCCTATTTTCAAACCATAGGTTCCTGTATGCATGTCTGATTTTTGCAGTTTCTTTTACTTATTTCTCTTCCGTGTGGCTGCTCCTTGGCTGCTATTAGTTTGCCTTCTTGTTCTCTTTCATTGTGCACTCTGCTTGACTAATTAAAATGCCAATAGTAATTGGTACTAGTAATAATAACCACCACCAGTTATTGATCACTTTCTGTGTGCTAAGTACTTCCTATGCTTTCTCTCTCTTAATCTTCACAACACTCTAAGAGTTGGTATTATTACCACTGTAATTTCACAAATGTGAAAACTAAGGCTTTAAGGCTTAAAGGAACTTGTCCAAATACACAAAGCTAACAGCATGAGATTCCAGCTCTGTTTGAGTCTAAAAGCCCGCTCTAAAGCCCTATTCTATACTGCTCCCTGTGGGTGGGTGAGTGTGCCTATATCCATACACAAATGGATGCACATCTATAAATATATATATGTTTACAGCAATGCTACATAATTTTCGTTGTGTGGGTTCAACTTTCATAAAGTTTTCACATTTAAAACAACTGACACCATAATTAGGATAAATCGTTTCCTGCTGGCATCATGCTTCAGTCTTGATAAGTAGTGTTTCACCCCTCAGGCTGAGACCATGGTTGAGACTGTAGGAGCTGTGTAAATCAGCTGAGAGACTGGTGAGCCATGGCTTAAATTACTTCCTCTCATATACACAGCTGTGAGTATATCTCATCCTTGACCTGCCCACCTTCATTACCAAAGTCCTGAGCTGCCTAAAATGAGATAGCAAGGTGTGGCCTGATTTCCTCACATGCTGATTAATGGTTTAGCAACTCTTACAAGATGGCAAGGATGAAGTTGCAGCAAGCCATTTACTCCTTACTCCTGAGACTGAGACAACCACCTCTGAAGATAATTCTTCTGTATCATGCTCCCTACTTAATTCAAACACTAACAAAAGAGAAACATATTCACTGGAGTCCAGAAGAAAATCAACATATTCTTAAAAAATGGAGACACATATAGTGAAAAAGAATAAACAATGGTTTTACATCAGATGATTTATGAGAATATTTCCTAATATATTGTGAGGTATGATCAATACACTTCTAATCCTTATACTGAACAAGATTTTTTGTTATGTCATGAGGTATATATACATATATATACGTAGTTGTGATCTTGGTTAAACATTACATTGCTTGGTGGCGATGCAAATGCAGAACGAATAATTTTACAAGGAAAATTGCAGTCTCACTGTCTCCATTTGGTTATTTTTAAACATCCTAAAAATTGGTACTGAGCATGCAGCTTATTGAGAAGTTTAAAAAATAAAATAACACCTTACATCAGCCAAAGTCAGCAGAGCTTTCCGGAAGTCACCAGATGTTTCAGAGCTAATGTCATCTCCAAGACTCTTCTTATATACTGAAACCAAATAAGAATGAAATTAAGCCTTGGTAAACTGAAAAATCTTATAAAACAGAAAAGCTTAAATGTCAACATTGACAATGATTAAGTATCTGATGAAGTAAATCTTGCTCTTTTATTTAACTTCCTGGTGCTCTTTTGTTGTGAGATGGATATCTTCTTGTAATTATTGTTATAGTGTGTGTTATGGTGGATGCAAAAGAACAGAAAGAATTACCACTTGGTATCAAAGCGTGGTCCATTTCATCTGACAACAGCACTAAAGGAGGCATAGTGGGAAAGCTAGGGTGGGAGAGCTGCTAGTTTGCTTTCCAATTTCCATTCTCTCCTTGATAGTAACAAAACCTCAATCTTTAGCAAGACGTGATGCGCACAGCGTAACGACTACATTCTCAGTTTTCCTCTTAGCTGGGTACAGCTCCATGACTAAGTTCTCGGCAATCTGAAATGTAGGTAGACATATGTGGCATTGCTGCCTAGTTTGTGAGTTGATACCTGGAGCACGGACAGCCATTGTGGACTATGAAGATGAGGGCTACACCTAAGGGATGGCATAAAAGCAAGCAGGAAGGGACTGGGTTCCTGAAAAAGTTTGAAGAATCAACCAGTCCCAGAACTGCCTATCTCCAGACTTTTTTTTTACATGTGCAAGAAATAAACTTCCATCTTATTTAAGCTACTATTAGATTTCTGTTTTATGAACCTAACTCTAATATTAACTAACAGCTAGACCGTATTATTTGGTTAAAAAAAATAAACCCCAGACATCCTATTTCCCCCTTAACAATTGCCAACTGTGTGTTCACATATTTTAGTACTGACTAGTTATAGTCCAGAGTCCCTGGGTGGCACAAATGGTTAAGTGCTTGGCTACTAATTGAAAGGCTGGTGCTTCAGAAGAAAGGCTTGGCAATCTGCTTCTGAAAGGTCATGGCCATGAAAACCCTATGGAGTGCAGTTCCACTCTGAAACACACGAGGTCACCCTGAGTCAAAATCAACTCAGTGGCAACTGTTTTTCTTTTACTGGTTAATTGTAGTCTCTTTTATGTAGCCTGTAATGTACAGTGTCCATCCATTTTCATTCTCTGTTCTGCTCTATCCCTGGGGAAGTGATTCTCTTGGAGTCACTATGTAAGTGGAGGGCAGGATTAGTATCTAACACCAGGTGGCTATTTGAACTCTGCCTCCATCATTCTCAAGAACTCTATGTATTAGTCATGTGAATGCTCGTCGTTTTAATTCAATGGAAGATAATTGTAGAAAGTGATCTGAGCTTATGTGTAAATTCAGCTACGGGGACTCCCCAAGCATGACTTTAGTACATCTCTCTTTAAGAAATCTGTAATTTTCCAAAGCAATTCAAATAGCAAAATCCACTATAAATATAAATTATTTATATACACGATAGCTTGTAGCAGGCCTCATTACACCTAATAGTCTTGATACTGTTACATCTATACTTTAGATAGAAAAAAAACAATAATAATTTAAAAACATTGGGTCAAATAGTAAAGTTCCCATTTGTTAGAATTTACACAAGTATTTCATAATTTTAGAATTAGCTAGATGAGACTTTATAAACATCTCATGCAGCCTCCCCACTCCACCCTTTACTCCACATATTTTACAGAAAATTAAACTAAAAAAAAAAAAAAAAAGACAATTATTTTCATCGAAGTTGACAGACACTTTATGCATTTTGAGGCACAATCAAGTCTAGATCAAGAAATAAGATAGTACAATAGTGCAGGAGCCTGAACTGGAAGTTAGAGTTCTTGATCCCTGATTCACTGTTATTTCACACACCGCTAACTTAGAACACTGATAAAACTTCAGCATTTAGCTCCCTATTTATTTGGACTCCATAGTGTCACTTCAGAGCCCTGGTGGTGCAGTGATTAACAGCTTGGCTGCTAACCAAAAGGTCGGCAGTTGGATCCACCAGCCACTCCTTAGAAACCCTATGGGGCAGTTCTACTCTGTCCTATAGGGTCGCTATGAGTTGGAATCGACTCAGTGGCAATAGGTTTGTATCACTGTACTGGACAAGGCATACAAGATGCCTGGTCCCTTTATGAGTGCCAAGTTGATAATCTCCTTTGACTGGTTTCTTCTGCATGGGTCACCATTTCACATTACATAACACCATCACTCTTTTACATTACACAATACCATCACTCTTTCTACAGCTGACTGGAACAGGGTTGGCATCTGACAATAGGTGGTCAGCAGACTAAGAGGTGGCCTGGTGAGAGAACTTTGCCCGAAAGTAATGTTCTGTACTAAACAGTAACATCTTGAGCCCATTAGATCCTCTCTATTAGGGAACGAGCTATACAGAAAAAAGACAAAGACACTAGAGCAACAAAGTAGACCCCCCAGAAATACTGCAGAAAACAGAAGCCAAGAATAACCAGGAACAATAAGCAAATATAAGCCTTGAGTAGCTATGATTGGTAGGAGGAGAGAAGTTACTCGGTGGTATCAAGAACAGTAGAAGCAGCTCTTTCCGCCATCTTGGAGCCTGTGAAGGCCTGCTGGGAACAGGACTTCTAAAACAGCAAATATGTCTAGGCCATGGTTCAAGGCTATTTTTGCTGACTATTAAAGTGGGTCTTCAGAACCAGAGGCAGCAACATCTCTTCTTAAAACTAAAGGTGTTTATGCCCAAGATGAAACTGAATTCTATGTAGGCAAAAGCAAAAATACCCAAACCAGTTGCTGTCTAGTCAATTCTGACTCACGGCAACTCCATATGTGTCAAAGTAGAACTATACTCCATAGGTTTTTTGATGGTTGATTTTTCAGAAGTAGATCACCAGGCCTTTTATCCAAGGTGCCTCTGTGTGGATTCAAACCACCAATATTTGGTTAGCAGCCAAGCATGTTAACCATTGCAACATCTAGGGACTCCTCTATTTAGGCAAGAAATGTGCTTATGTGTTCAAAGCAAAGAACAATACAGTGACTCCTGATGGCAAACCTGACAAAACCAGAATAATCTGGAAAAAGGTACTTCGCATCCATGGGAATAGTGGCATGGCTTGTGCCAAATTCTGAAGCAATCTTCCCGCTAAGACCATTGGACATAGAATCCATATGATGTTGTACCCCTTAATGATTTAAACTTATTGAAAAGTAAATAAATATAATTATGGGTTAAAAAAAGAAAAGAACAGCAGAAGCAGAGAAGGAGGGAAACAAAGTTACTATAATAGAAGACATCAGCACAAGGAGCAGGAGATGCTGCCTGATGCTGAGGAATGACAAAATAACTGAGCCCCCAGGGTAGCACTTTGTCTTGAATTTCTGTGAAGCTTGGCTGTACATGTTTGAGACTGTTTTCTTCCTTATCGCCTCGTGTATCATTAATCCCTATTAAGCAAGGCAACCTAGATGCAATTCTATTCCTTGTAGCCTTAAAGAGCTTAAACAGTGATTGCTGAGAGCAAAATCCACTGCAGCTGTAATATCATAAATGCAAGGTATTAATGCCATCATTATGCAGCACTTTCTAGCTTAGATCATATTCAAATCTTCTCTGAAAATCCGAAGTCTTCAGCCCATTTCAGAATGTATCCTCTTCCTGTAAGTCTTGCCTCCTTCAAAAAGCCTTGTGAAAAAGATATTGGTGGGTTTCTGGGAAAAGCAACATTGGCTCATATATATGTGGACATTACTGTACATAAGCAGAAAATAAGACTACTTGTATAGTAGGCTTGGGAGATCTCCTTCATCTGCCTGCTTGTCCTGGTGGTTAGAATTTCAATCAACGCATCTTCGTTTGTTCCAGCTCCCTAAAAAAATGAAAGGAAATCTAATTTTTAGAACTCTTAAAAAATCTAATTTCATGCAATTTAGTCCTAATATCTTACTTAATATAGATTTTAACAAGTCTTAAATAAACTGATATAAAGTCCCATGTTGCTCTAAAATAGTTTTCTAATTTTCCATATTATTTTCGTATTAAAATAACATGAATTGCAAAGTGGTACAGCCACTGTGGGAAACAGTTTGGAGGCTCCTCAAAAAGTTAGTCATAGAATTACCATATGATCCAGCAATTCTACTACTAGGTATATACGCAACAGACTTGAAAGCAGTGACTCACATATGTACACCAATGTTTACTGCAGCACTATCCATATAGCTAAAAGACAGAAACAACCTAATACCTCCTGATTAGGATTTTACTATGGAATCTTCATCAAAATGTTCAGTAATAGTAGTTGCGCATCATCTAGTTCTTCTAGCCTCATGGCAAAGGAGGCAGTTTTTTATGGAGGCAATTAGCCACACACCCATTTCCTCCTATTCCTGATTCCCCTTCTTCCTGTGCTGCTCCAAGCAAAGAGACCAATTGTGCCTTGGATGGCCACTTGCAAACATTTAAGACCCCAGGCACTACACAATGAACTAGGAGGTTGAACATAAGCACTAAACATGTTATTAGGCCAATTACAAAAGGACAAATATTGCATGATCCCACTTAAACGAAATAAGCAAATGTATAGAGACCAAAGCTTATTAGTGGTTACCAGGGGTGTGAGGGAGGAGGAAAGCGGGAGTTATTTCTTAGGGGGGCACTGAGTTTCTGTTAACAGTGGTGGATACATGATGAACGTAATCAATGTCACTAAATCATAATGTAAAAATTATTGAATTGGCAAATGTTTTGTTATATATATATTTTTACCACAGTAAAAAAAAAAATGATATAAACTATCTGGAGTTAATTGACAGAAGAATTTTCAAGGAAATTTTCTACTCAAGTGTCACGATAAATTGAATGATTTTTCAGAGAAATAGTATAAAGAAAAAAATTATGTCATTCAAGGTCAGAAATGGCAGTCTAGTAGTATTAACTCTAGTGAGCATTCAAACATACCACTATATTTAGAAAGGACTCTACAATTCTCTTGAATATTATCCTTATACCACTGCATGGGTTTAGTCAGCATTGTCTCATCTTCTTGACATAGGGAGATTTTCAAAGACTTAATAACGGGTATTATTGGGCCCAGCTGACTTGGGGACAAGTTACCCCTGAGCCTTGGTTTTTACTGAGGTCACTGAACCACAGTGTTACTCCAAGAGAAATCATTTACACGAGGACTTGATCAAATAAGGTCAATGAAGCACTTAAACCAAGGCTGAATTCCGTCTAGCAGCAGAGATTCTTAGTTGACCCCAATATATCTTTTGTCTTTCTTGCTTAGTATAGAACCCCCAATGTTTAACTTGGTGCATGGCTGACCAAATAAAGACTATACTTCTCAGTTTCTTTTACAGCTAGGCTTAGTCATATAACTAAGTTCTGGACAATGAGATATATGCAGAAGTATCATGCAAAACTTCCGGGAGTGTTTTTAAAGAGAGAGAGGGTGGATCCTCCTTTGTCCCTTGCTCCTTTCAGTTGACTGCAATGAAGATATAATGACTAGAGCTGGAGCTGCCATCTTACATCAGGAAGTATAAATCACAGGCTGAAGAATGATAGAGCAATAAGATGGAAGGAGCCTGAGTCTCTGATAATGGTGGTGTCACCACATCCAGTTTTGGACTGCTTATTTGGATTTCTTATTTGTAAAAGAGAATTTTTTCTAACACTTGTAGGCAAACCAAATCCTTACTATTAACATCTGTTTAATTCTCTGCCTTTGGGGTGGTCATAAAAGTGTACTGCTCTGGGGACATCTAGGTCAATTGGTGTAACAAAGTTTATTAAAAAAATGTTCTGCATCCTACTTTGGTGAGTAGCGTCTGGGGTACTAAAAGCTAGCGAGCAGCCGTCTAAGATGCATCAATTGGTCCCAACCCACCTGGAGTAAAGGAGAATGAAGAACACCATGGACACAAGGGAAGTATTAGCCCAAGAGACAGAAAGGGCCACATAAAGCGGAGACTGCATCAGCCTGAAACCAGAACTAGATGATGCCCGGCTACCACCAATGACTGCCCTGACAGGGAACACAACAGAGAGTCCCCAATGGAGCAGGAGAAAAGTGGGGTGCAGAACTCAAATTCTAGTAAGAAGACCAGACTTAATGGTCTGATTGAGACTGGAGGAACCCCAGACAGCATAGCCCCTGGACTCTCTGTCAACCTAGCACTAAAACCATTCCCGAGGCTAACTCTTCAGACAAAGATTAGACCGGACTATGGGACATAAAATGATACTTGTGAAGAGTGTGCTTCTTAGCTCAAGTAGATACCTGAGACTAAATGGGCAGCTCCTGTTCGGAGGTGAGATGAGAAGGCAGAGAGGGTCAGGAGCTGGTTGAATGGACACGGGAAAGCAGGGGTGGAAAGGAGGAGTGTGCTGTCACAGTATAGGGAGAGCAATTAGGGTCACATAACATGTATGCATAAATTTTTGTATGAGAGACTAACTTGAATTGTGAACTTTCACTTAAAGTACAATAATAAAATAAAATAAAAAAAGATTTTTAGGAAGGGATAATATTAAGTTATATAGAAAAAAAAAAAGTGTATTGCTCAGATCTCCCTTCCTGAGAATCTGTTGCAAAGAATTCAGTTGGCCAGTAGCCTCCAATTGCCATACACTTGGATCTGTCATAATGTTCTCACCAATATCATGCTTTTTCCAGGCTGTTCCTAGTCAATGATGAGCACAACAGGGGTACCGGAGCTGGGCTGTTTTTGCCCAACGGGGACCCTTCCAAAGAACAATCTTTGCTCAGGGGCTCCTCATCAGCCTGCCAAGGCTATGTCAAGAGCTTCACTATGGACTGAGGCTCTTCCTTTCCTAGCCCCCTCCTTCTCTCTCTCCTTTCACAGGTGTCAGATCTGCATTAGAGTCTGAAGACTCACCCCACCTACCCTGTTCCCTCTTCCCCTTTATATTTCAGAGGCATTTGCCCCAATAAATCTCTTGCCCATCTAATTCTACCTTGCTATCTACTTCTCAGATGATCTGAACCAACACACCCATACCTCTTCCATAGAACTTCTACCCCTGATAGGAAGGTAGAATATGGTTATACTCAGGCCTAGACTCCCTTATTTCCTTCCTTCCCTTAGCAAATATGTATTGAGCACCCACTTCACTCCAGGCCCTGCTTTAGGGACAGAGGGTACAGAACAAGACTGATGAGGTTCCCTGCTGTAATGGAGGTACCATTTAATTGGACAAAAATAAATAATTTTAAATAATAAGTGCAATTAAGAAAATAAAACTGAGTGAATTATTATGTTCCAGAGAGAAGGAACATAACATATAAAGACCCCAAGGTATCTTAGAAGGTTCAAGGGTCAGAGAGAAGGTCAGTGTGGCTGCAGTACTGAAGATCGGGGGAAGAGGGTACTTTGTAAAAAAAGTCACAAAGGTAGGCAAGAGTCTGACTGTCTTGGGTGATAAAGGCCATGATAAAGAGTTTGGATTTTAAGAGTTCAAAGCCATTGGAGATTTATGCAGGCAAATAGCATAATCTTATTTAATGTAATAAAAATAATTTTGGCTATTCTGTGAAGACTAGATTAGAGGTGGACAAAAATGGAGGCGAACAGACCAGTTAGGAAGCTATTGAAATAGTCCAGTCAGAAGATGATGGTGGTTGGCCTAGGATGGTAGCAATGGATTTTGAGAGAAAGGAACACATTTGGGATAGATTTTGGAAGTAGAGCTAATGGACTTACTGAGATTTTAAGGATAAGGGAAAGCAAGGGGTCAAGGACAATAAGTTTTTGGACTACGCAATGGAGTTGATGATGATGCCATATACTTTTAATGACAACAAACTAGAAAATTGGATTCTACACGGCAAAAAGCAAACAAACAAAATAAAGATATGAGAGGATCCTTTTGTCCCAGGAAGATTCAGGTTCAAAGTTCCACAACTACTCTCTATTTCAGAGTCATTCCAATTGGAAGGCACAGAATTAAAATGCCATCTGTGTCTACCATACTTACAACCGTATCTAAGTGTGTACTGGAAGAAAGTAACTGTTTCTGAAGACATAGTCAAATCCTGGGCAGGAAAGGCTTGTGTAGGGCTCATACCTTCATGGATTTCTTTAGCTGCTTCGCATCGAACACTGCTGGTAGAGTCACAAGGGCCACCATGGTACGCTTAAAGTTGCCAGAGAGATCACCCTTCAAGTCATCTTTCAACTCCTAAAATAAGAAATCCCGAAAAGGAAAGTATGAAATACTTTTTATTTCTTTCTCTAAAGTCACCTAGTGAAAGATGAACATATGTATCAAGATCAGATGAAAACGTGCCCATCCACTGGGAATAAACAGAAATGTCAAAGATATCTCTATGGATATTAATCTGCATTTTATGATTATTTCAAAACTGTTCTGTTTCACAAAAGGCTTTTTGCAGGAAAGCCAAAGGAGGGAACTCCATGCATGCCACAGTTGTTGTTGTTGTTAGCGTTGTCAAGTTGGCCCGACTCATGGCAACCCCATGCCTAAGGGAACAAACTGCTGTCTGGTCTGGTGCCATCCCCATGATCAACTGCAGATAGGATTATTGTGATCCACAGAATTTTCACTGGCTGATACTCAGAAGTAGATTACCAGGCTTTTCTTCCTAGTCCATCTTAGTCTGGAAACTCTGGAATTGTGTGTGTTAATATGCACGTCCTGTGTCCTCAATGTTCTCAATACTTGGGTTGGGGTGAGGGAAGAGGAGGAAGGGTCCTCATTAATGCACATCTAGCTTCAATAGTAGATGCCCTATTCCTGGGTACCTTCCTTCTCAGTGACTGCCAAAGAGCTCAGGAGAAAAAAGGAGAGGGAGGACAGTAGTTGGTCACTAGCCTCTGGTGAGAGCTTGGAACTAGGAGGAATCAGGAGTAGTTTTCTGGCAAGAGCAGTAAGGAATCCTTAAGTGTAGCAATGGGGTGAACATTAGTTACTGATATTGTACTTTGGCACTGTTTTCACACAGTACATAAATCTGGTCCATCTCGCCTGCTTAAAGATAGGCAACATGGCTTCTATTTTCAATATTCAAAGGAATGTTATGGAATGCTTTCCCCCCACCCCAACCTGCTCCTGAAACAGAGACTGGCAACCTTCCAAACTGCTACACCAATATAGGTACAGATCAACACTTACCACACCACTGAGGGGCACAGCAGGGCCATGGCCCTGCAGAAACAAATGGAATGGAGCCAAGTGTCCCTAGCTCTGTTTCCATCACCACAGGGAATTTTCTTTTCTAAATGCTGAAATCCACTACCATGTGTCCTCAACCCAAGACTTTGCAACTGAACTTAATTTCACAAGCTCTCATTCTACCCCACTGTGAAAAATGGTTATTTTCCTTAGCCTTCAATGTTCCTCCATATTCTGGAAATGCTGAATGGTCAGTGATCATTCGTGTTCCCTATACACAAATGCACTGCCTTTTCCAGAAGCTTGGCAATTCATTTAATTCAACAAATATTTATCGGAAATCTGCTCTGTGCTAGGCATTTAAAGGTGAGGCAGACACAATCCTTACCTCTAAGACATCATGCCCTAAGGGGAAAAAGAGACATATCCAAAGACAAAATTTCAAAAGATTATATTAAGCATTTGATAGAAGAAACATAGAGATGGGTGGCTTAATGGAGTCTAGGGGTTAGGAGGGAAACCCTGGTAGGTAGTGGTTAAGAGTTCATTTTCAGGAGATGATACCTGAGCTGCCTAAGGATAGTCACTGGACACTCTCATCTCTCACCTCGACCACCCAATAGCCTAAATGGTCTTTGCTTCCACTCCTCCCCTCTGCAGATCATTAGCCACAGCAGCCAAAGCAACCTTCAAAGATATAAACTGGATAATATTATTCCCCTGCTTATAAGCTCCTCTGGCTCCCTATTATCCATAGAATAAAATCTAAACTCTGTACCAAGACTTCAAGGTCCAGCATGTTCTAAACCTCTCTTCAAACTCATCTCCTCCTTCTGCTCCCTTTCACTCTCTACACTCCCACCCTATTGGAATTCTTTCTGTTTCTCAAATATTCTGAGCTTGTTTCTGCCTCAGGGTTTTTGCATTTGCTGTACCGTCTGCCTGAAATGCCTTAGTTAACAACCCCTCACAGTCACATTTCTTCACCACCTTATCTAATGGACCCATTATCACATCACTCTATTTTAATTTTTTATAGCACTTATCAATAACCGAATTTATTTTATTTACTTGTTTATTACATTTCTAATAGAATATTAGCTCCATGAAAGAAGGAAATATCTGTTTTTACACTGTTGCACCCCAGTGTCTAGGATACCTCCTGACACCGTTGTTGCTGTTGCTGGGTGCCCTCCAGTCGATTCTGACTCATAGTGACCCTATATGACAGAGTAGAACTACCCTATATGGTTTCCTTGCCTGTAATTTTCATGGGAGCAGACTGCCAGGTCTTTTCTCCTGTGGTACCACTGGTGCGTTTGAACTGCTGACCTTTCAGTTAGCAGCTGAGTGCTTAACCACTGTGCCACCAGAGCTCCTTCCTGACTCCGTAGCACCCAACAGATATGTGTCAAACAAATAAACTGTGTGTGTGGCGAGGACCAAGTCTAATTCATTCTTACACAGTTTCTTGTGCTTAATGAGTTTTGATTTGTTGAATGAATTAAACATATAATTATATAAAGATTTTAAAGTTGGAAGAGAAATTAAAGATCATTTAAGACAGAGTTTGTCAGCCTTGGCATTGTTTACATTTAGGGCCAGTTACCTCTTTGTTGTAGGGGGCTGTCCTGTTATAAAAATGGCATGGGGGCAGTGTCTGACCTCCTCTAACTTCACAAAGGAGAAAGAGAACCGAGATCAACAGCCCAAGGGTGATTCCTGTTAGGTGGAGGTCAGACATGCCTCCTCTCTCCTCTCATGGCACTCTCTACTTCTCTGCTGGGTTTGACAATTCATTGCAAAGGCCACCCAGAACTCACAGGCAATACTCACGATTATGGGGTTTATTAGGGAAGTAACAGGTCAGAATTCAGGTTGAGAAATGCTCAGAATACAGTTCTTCCACCTGGACTGCCTCTTCCCAGCTGTGCTTGCAAGCAGCCTCTCTGGCCCTCAGCCTCTGCTCTCCTTGGGCAAGTGTTACAAAGCTCTTTTGGCTTGCCAGTAAGTGCTCAGAGGTACTCTACTCTGCTAGCAAGCCACCTGCCCAAAGGCACTCAGCCTTCTCGCTTCATCGGTCAGGAAGCCCACCACGCCGTCTCCTGCTGTCATTTCTCTGCCACTGTTTTTTGAGCTCTCTCTCTCTCTCTCTCTCTCTCTCTCTCTCTCTCTCTCTCTCTCTCTCTGTCTCCTGGTTCCAGAAGCTTCTCAGTGCAGGGATCCTGGGTCCAAAGGATACACTCTCCACTCCTGGCTGTTCTTCCTTGGTGGTGGTGAGATCCTCTCTCTCCCACCTCTGGGATGGATCATCTCAAGCCCAGCAGTACGGCAAAAGTGACCAGTCCCTTTGGTGGGCCACAATTACCTTATCTGCACAAGCCTGCCCAATACTCAGGTGGGAGTTAGAAGACCATGGCGAGAAACGCCACACTAAAGCGATCCATCGCACCACACCTGTGCATTACAGAATGTTTAGCAGCATTTTGGCCTAGATGCCAAAAGCATCCTTCTCCTCCAAATGTCTCCTGGCGAGCAAAATCACCCCCGATTTAGAAGCATTGATCTAAGGCAACCTTTCTTGTTTTACCGGTGAAGAACCTGACGCCCAGAAAGTTCAAGTAACATGCCCAAGGTCACTCAGCCAGTTAAGAGCAAAACCAAGACACAGATTCCAGGCTGTTGAGTGGATACACAGGGTACTTTATGCTACACTAGGTGTGAAACAAAAGATCTACGGGCATAATCACGTGGGAGCATCTCTGATACATGAGTGATTATCTCCTTATTGGCTGTGTTATGTTAATCAAAGTGTACCTTTCCATATGCTGCTTGATATTCCTTAACAATCAGCTGCCTCTGTGCGTTCGACCTTTCCGTCAGAATGCTGATGAGCGTTTTCTCATCGGTTCCTAAATGAAACAAAAATCGTTTTACTCACCATCAACCCAAAGATGCTCAATAACTGCTCTAAACAAAACAAAAATGATTAACAGGCTGAAACAACTGCAGAGAGTAAGGCATTTTAATTTTAATTTCCAGGTTCTTAGCAGGTTGGACTCTTTATTTCTTTGTTTTTGGGGTTTTTTTTTTCCCCCTTTATTTATTTATTTTATTGGACTGCAGGTGAAGGCTTACAGAACAAATAGTTTCTCATGAAACAGTAGTACACATACTGTTTTATGACATCGGTTAACAACGCCACATGTCAACCCTCTCCCTTCTCGACCACTTTTTTTTTTTTTGGTGAAAACATACATAGCCAAAGATACACCATTTCAAAAATTTCTACAGGCAAAGTTCAATGACATCTACTAAGCTGTTCCAAGTGTGCTGCTATTCTCACTTTAGATGAAGGCTTACAGAACAAAATAGTTTCTCATTTAAGTTAGTACACATGTTGCCCTAAGACAATGGTTAACAACCTCACAACACATCGACACTACCCTTACTCAACCTTGGGTTCCCTATCACCAGCTTTCCTGTCCCCTTCTGCCTTCTG